TTGACAACCACTGGCTATAGATTTCTCCAGACCAATCGCGACGTGAGAGTCTTATCGGTTGTTCTAGGACCCAAACATAATAATAAAAAATGTTCATTGTGGTAAAGGAAATAATAATTTGATCTAAGTAAGAGTTTTTTTTTTCTTCCCGATTTGTAAAAAATCCTTACGTGATAGAAAAAAAAAAGAATATTATTTTCGAAATATGCATAGGTGAATTATGGAAAATTCGTTATTAAAATCAAAACAACTTTTATGACATTTAAATTCACGGGCCTGTGTAATTAGTAATATTTTATTACAGGTTACAACTTTTACAGTAAGGAAGAATATCATTAAAACAGGTATAGCGTTTCGATCACCGGTGCAATCGTCTCAAGTACACAAGTCGTACCTGTTTTAAAAATATTCATCCTTACTGTAAAACTGAAACTTGTAATAAAATAGCCTTGGATCCTAGTTTATTAAAAGTAACGTTTAGGCAACTTAAATCTTAGATCTCTTAAAATAATGCTGAATTGTATTTTCTTAGTTTGGTTGATTTTCTTAGCATAAAGCTACACAATGGACTATCTGAAATTTGTCCACAGCGAGGAAAAGATCTGGATATTTTAGTGTTGTAACCACACAAACTTACCGATGGGAGGACTGTATTATCACAGGTTATATACATGTACCTCTGCACAACAAAATAAAGCAAAACAACATCTAGTAACAAAAACTATATACATATAAAAACTATATTTTTAATGTTGATATTGCTATTTTCTTATTAAATAAGTGGGCATGGCATGGCCAGGTGGTTAGGGCGCTTGACTCGCAACCTGAGGGTCGCGGGTTCGAATCCCCGTCTCACCAAACATGCTCGCCCTTTCAGCCGTGTGGAGCATTATAGTGTGACGGTCAGTCCCACTATTCGTTGGTAAAATGAGTAGCCCAAGAGTTGGCGGTGGGTGGTGATGACTAGCTACTTTTCCTCTAGTCTATCACTCGAAGATTAAAGATGGCTATGAGAAGACAGCAGTTGTGTGCTTTTGCAGGTAAGCTCTAAACAAACAACTAAACTGACCTATCACGTCTTCTACATAAGCACAACAACCGGGGGACGTGTTACCCTCAACTTTTTTTTAGGTACCTTTATGTCCTCCTCAACATTCAGACACCCACGTAGAATCTCGTACTTTAACTTTGTAAACGTACATATTTTCAGCACACAGGACTTCATAAAAATCCGTGTCTCTGCTATCCAGTTTCCCCCCCCCCTCTCCACACAAACACACAACGTTTTAGCCGTGGTTGCATCTGTGATATTCTGTTGTCCCTTTTTTTCAGGCGTATTTTCGAGTGACACATTTAACTTGAACTTTTATCACTTCAAATTCTTTTGTGCTTGCTGTTTCATTACCTAACATCTTTTAAACTATTGTGAGGACCTGTTTCAAAAACTCGATCTTATCATCCTCACTCATTTGTACTTAATAACCTACTGTAAATGCTATTTCTGAACAGCTACCTTCCCACTGACGCTAGCAAGCAGCCACAAGGGGTAGAGATATGGGACTTGTGGGCTTCACTTCAGCAAGTACAACCATTTCTAATTTGAATATTATGCAGTATGTGGAACTTGGAAATAAAGGTTGAATCTGATAAATGGTGTATCCCTACCGCAGTGCACGCATCACTCATGCAGATATCTATAAAACTAAGATATATCTCGTTATTCAAAACTACGACATACCTCTTAATTTCCACATTATAGTCCTTGTCATGGTGTTTCATTACTGCCGCACTCTTACTTCCACTTAGAATGTAATTGGTTTATATCATTCTAGAGGGCTCTAGAAGACCAAGCAACGCTTTTAAATACCAGTGATTTCTGAGATAACAGTGAACAGAAATGTGGCGGCGGCTTATCAACTTTGTGGCATCATACACAGTTTAGTTTTCTGAGTTTCAATTTTGATTCATACCACGTTTCTTTGTATCACTTTGTAAGAACGGTTTTGAGCACACAAATATTAGTTGTTGTTTTTGTCAGAGGGAAGCTAGCTACTTTATGTAAATTTATGCAACAAGTACTTTAGTTTTTGTTGTCTCTAATTTCGGAATCTTTTTAAAGGCACAGTATGCGTGACGTTAATGTCGGATTTCTTATATTTTCTTATTTGTTTCAGAACTTCTGCAAGAAGATTCACGAAAGTTGTCTGCATGTAGCCGTCCCTAATTAATTTTAAGCTGATAGACTAAAGGGAAGCCAGCTAGTTAGCAGTACCCACCAGCAACTCTTGTCTAATCGAGTATTGGTGTATGACAGTCATCCTCGTAGCGCACTCATGGGCCGAAAGTGCGGAGCGCGTTTTTTGAGCAACGGTCGCAAACCGTGAATCCTCGGTTCATATTCCCGTCACACTAACTGCAAAAAACATGCCCCCTATAAACTGTGAAGCCACCTGTCATGTGTACAGACACGGCAAACATGAATTGAAAACATTTGTCATGTGTACAAACACAGCAAACATGAACTGAAGCCATCTGTCATGTGTACAAACACAGCAAACATGAACTGAAGCCATCTGTCATGTGTACAAACACAGCAAACATGAACTGAAGCCATCTGTCATGTGTACAAACACAGCAAACATGAACTGAAGACACCTGTCATGTGTACAAACACTGCAAACATGAACTGAAGCCATCTGTCATGTGTACAAACACAGCAAACATGAACTAAAGCCATCTGTCATGTGTACAAACACAGCAAACATGAACTGAAGCCATGTGTCATGTGTATAAACACAGCAAACATGAACAAATTATAATAAATGTTTGAATAACGTGTTTGTATGAATATTGTTTATGTTGTGAAAGAGATCGTCACATATTGAAATACTAGCTTTCGAGACCTAAGACAACACAAATGTTCAAGCGTTTCATAAGCACGATCGAAAAAAAAAGGAAATACTCTCAGACTCAGAAATTTTATCATGAAGCAGTTATTTCCTTAACATAAAAATATTTTGATCATGCTTCTAACTTATTCGAAATGTTAAAGAAAGCTATATTTTTTTAGAAAATTTAAATGAAAAACAGCTCAAATACATAGTATTTATTTTGATATTATAAATATTTCATTTTATTTTCAACAAACTTTAAAACATTAACGAGAAACTAACTTATATCGATCACATGTAAACTTTAAACAATAGACCTCTTTCTCGTAGAGTTCAGCCTAACATGGTAACAGATTAAAAAGTTTTACACGTAGGGTGTGGTTTCGTTCCAGCTAACTTGAGCCCCTTGCCACCTGTAAATGAAATATAAAATATCAGTCTCATATTTAAAGACCTGAAAGGAATATTTCAAAAATTTGCTTTCACGTTTATATTTCACTTTTTTATTAATCTAATCGAGACACCTAATTTTCAGCATTCCAAGAACCTTGGCCTGATTTTTGTTGTTGTTGTTTTTGTTTGAATCACATTTGTAAGAATAATCCTTAACAGTAGCGATAGTAGAAGTGGTTTACGAGTGATGGATGTTTAAAAATAACGAAAAATGCCCTCATTCTGAAATGATGATAATTCTATTCAAATTCGCTAACCAACGTATATTACCAGTGAAGTATTTGTTTTGTAAGTTGTTTTAGCTCACCATTTTGTAACCGAAATTACTTTTAAGCGCATACCTATAATCATAACTAGCTATGAGGACACCAAGGTCGTGTCCTCATTTTTTGTTTGTTTGTTTGGAGAGGGGGGGGGGGCTTTCCTCACTCACTCATTCACACACACACACACAGATATATGATTAAGAATTATATCTTAAAACCCAAGTATAACCTCGGTAGAACATTGGCTCTGATTACGGTGCTGCACATACTTAAAATAATTTAGGTCCATAAATACTTTACACGCTCCACCATTTTAAGGAACTTTATTGTATATCTTTGTTTTGCTGACTCCAGCCGTGTCGATGAGCCTTGAATAGACGAAGCTGCAGTCCGCAGCAGAGGGTACGGCCAATCCAATATGGCCCGGCATGGCCAGGTGG